CATAACCGTGCCTCCCACTCCCAACTCAGCCAGACGCCGCAGCATGATACCGTGGTCCACCGTATCAAAAGCCGCTGAGAGGTCCAAAAGAACTAGGACAGAGGAACAACCCCTGTCCCGGGCCCTCCAGAGATCATTCACCAATGTGACCAATGCCGTTTCCGTGCTGTATCCCGGCCTGAAGCCCGACTGGAGCGGGACTAGATAGACCGTTTCCTCCAGGTGTCGGGGGAGCTGCCGCGCAACCACACTCTCCACAACCTTCGCCACAAAGCGAAGGTTGGAGTTGAATAATTGTACATAGATACTCTATGTAAAGTTAAAATAAAAATTGGTGAATTTCTCTATGCTGTTCTTAATAACTGTTTCATATAAAGATTAAATATGGTAAGGCTTGGCCCAGGGTTCACACTTCATAAAAATAATACCCATACATTTTATAGACTTGAATAGAACAGTTTTCTATTTAAAAATTTGTTTCCCTTGCAGGTGGAAAAACAGCCACATTATGAGGATAACCTTTATATGTATCTTTATTTTGTCATCTTTATTATTTTTGGATCCTTCTTCACTTTGAATTTATTTATTGGTGTCATTATAGATAACTTCAATCAGCAAAAAAAGAAGATAAGTATTCTATCGCTGTGATTTCAGAAGACTATCAGAGGTTTTATTTTAACAAAAACATTGTGCTTTGTGTATTTCTTCTGATTTTTCTTTCTTTCAAATATGCAACTATGATTCCAATGTGTACATCCTAAAAATAAATTGTAAATATTAATTCTAAAATTGCCAGTGTAAAAGAGGAGCATATGGTGTGTTAAAACCAATACATGAAATGAAAGATTTCCACCATGAGTTAGTTTTAAAGGAGGGAGTTATATAAACAATTACATTGTAAGGTAATGTACTACTTCATATAAGTATGCATAAGGATCTCATAAATCTAAATAATAAATAGTTATTCTTGGTCATGGCTTTCTGGAAACTAGCAAAAGATGAACACTTCTGGATGTCCTTTGGGATGTGATCCTTTTCCATACTTATCTTTTTTATCATGCTTTTCATTTTTCAATATGGGCTTTGGGCTTTTTTGTTTTTTAGTTGTTGAAGGTATTTGTATTATGAGAGCTGAAAAATATTTTTTTTTCAATTGTTCCTTTATTTATTTCGTAACCTGGAGGTTTTATTATTTTTTGTTTTTTTCTAACTATAGATGTTTTTATTTTATGGGGGGGTTGTTATAAGATACTGGAAATTTAGACAAAAGTTTAATACATGATGATAATGACGGCGACAGAAATGATGATGGCAGTGCTGAGAGACTACTGTAGTAACTATACTTTTTCAGTCTGCTGTAACTTTGCTGAAATTAAATTCCTGACCTTAGCTGAACCATGGAAGAAGGATGCACTCTTCTCTACCCATTTAGGGAGCCACCCCTAACGAAGAGAAGCACAAGGGAGTAGGTGTGCTTACAGATGGAAACTCTGCACACTTGTACATGCATGCATACAACATCAACCCTTGTACAAAGGAGCAGAGCTTGTGTTTGGGATTGCTCCCACCATTTTGCCCTCCCCCACTTGCTCGGCTTTTGCTTTATTAATAGGCAGCCCAAGGAAAGAGATTGTCCATCAAATAAAAGTCAATGTATAGAAAAACAGAAAGAAAAAGGGAATAGAAATGTCTGGTTGTAACTAGTTTTTGTTTCTCCTTTTTACTTTGGAGGTCAAGACATCTTTATGACAGAAGAGCAGAAAAAATACTATAATGCAATGAAAAAACTGGGCTCCAAGAAACCACAAAAACCTATACCCAGGCCAGCAGTAAGTGTTATGGGGTGTTTTTTTCCCATTGTTCTCACTGTTTTTGAAAATGCATGCTAGAGTTAGAAAACAATTTACATCTTATAACCCCCCCCCCAAAAAAAATCTTTTTAAATTAGTAAACTGAGGAAGAGGTGGGCCCAGGTCATGGCTCAGTAGCAGGCTGCACCTTGGGGGTTGGAGACCCTTGGATTACTCTACAGTTTTCAATGGTTTCTAGCTTAAACACTTTGGGGGGGAAAAAACATGTTACAAACTGTCAATAATCACGCCACCAAAATTGCGCAGTACAATTGGAAA